ATGGATCTAAAAGAAAGGTCAACGCTGTTTCCGTTTAAAAAAAATGGCAGCTGTGAACGTTTTTTTATTATAGAATATCATAACTACCACTTTTACAAGCCAGGAAAATGGAAGCTGTGAATGATTTGTCTTCAACAAACTAAAATAGATGCCATTTTTTACAAACCAAAAAACAGCAGGAGTGAACCTCTTGGCTTCATTTAACTGTTAAAGGTGCCATTTTTGCCAGCCAAAAATATGGCAGCTGTGCCTCTTTTGTTATTATAGAATATCATATCTGCCACTTTTGCACGCCGAAAAAATGGCAGTTTTGTGAAGTAAATGGCAGATATTTGCCATTATTTCGGCCATAGTGAGTAATGAAATAATAGAGAGGGTAACAATGGTGGATCTTTAGATGCAGGAAGATCCAGAAGACAACAATTGAACAGATGGTAGTGGTTCGCGACGAAAGGAGGGTGATGGTGGTTGATATAAAGGTGATGTTTGAGGAAGGGGGGATGATTGAGGTGAAACAGTTCTTCTTCTACTAGTGGGAGGTTCTAGGTCCTCGGACATAGAAGGTCGAACATGCTCAAAAGTTGATGATGATAGATGGGAAGAGGAAGAGGAGGGCAAAGGTTTTGCTTCTGCACTGGGAGCAAGTACAGGTGGTCGAGCCGTATTATCCGTAAAGCGTTTCGTTTGAGAGGAGTAAATATGAGGTGGTCTGATTGTAGGATAATCCTGAATTATTTCATCCAAATTTTCATATATCTCATCAGGGGCGAAGCTAGATCCTCCAGTAGTAGATCGTCTGGTAAATTCTTTTTTGTAATTCTCAACAAGACTCTTTCATTTACCCTTGATAAGCTCTAACTCGCGGGGTGGAACATTGGCATGTTGAGCGTTTTCATATTAATTTTTTTCAAATTACGGTAAGTGTCGTATGGCAGATGTATTAAATCATAGAAACAATACAAATTCAATATCAGATCTCAGTAAACAGACTGGAGATCGTAATCATGGAAAGATTGTTATGAACGAATAAGAATACATAGATAAACATTTATTCAATTCAAATGCATAAACGATTGAATAGTAAATCCCGATTGGATCTACTATTAGTTTACACACAGCTTCGTAAAAGTATAAATACGAGCTCATTCAACTCTTAATAAAAGGTCATCTTTACTTTGATTATTTTTAAAGACCATTTTGATATCTACAATATTACAGTAAGCTTCTCCAGTCTCGAAGTCGCTTCCGGAACTTTCAAGAGTAGGTATGTAAATGGCATAGCATTCGATATACAACATTGTTTCTAAAGATGACCATAGTAGTCCACGTCCTCCTTGAGAACTGGGAGTGTCTCCAAATGAAAAAACGCTGAACATTGTTAGAGAAGGTAAATAAAAATATGAAGTTTTACAAGAAAAATAAAAGGAAGAATAAGCGATTGTGGATTTTTATATATTGAAGCAGTCGGGTCATCTTAGTATTTCAATATCAAATTTTTACGTCATGTCATACTTGTTTTACTTTTTTGTAATTTATAAATTGCCAAACCCCCCATAAATTTTGGCTGGTAAATTTTTTTTCAAAGTTTAAATTACTATTTTGAGCGAAATATTTTTGTTCTCAAACACTATGGCGGAAATAATGGCAACTATCTGCCATTTACTTCACAAACTGTCATTTTTTTTGGCGTGCAAAAGTAGCAGATATGATATCCTTGTTGTATTCGAGGAGTATATACACCACAGTATTGGTATACTCCGACGATTGAAGTAATTTATCATTTTTCATATTTTGACATATGTCAGCTGCTCATCTAAAATTCACGTAGCACTAAGGGGAATTTCCCTGTTACGGACTGTTATTTTTATTATCCTTGATGTACCTTGCGGGATATTGACAGCTCGGATGATTTATAATATAATCTACCCACGATGGTAGTTTTCCCGTTTACAGTTATGGTTATGTTCAATGTGTATAAAAGAACTCTTTATTTTTATATTTAATAAAATCAAGTTATTATGCAATCTGGTTAATAATTAGTCTTATAGATTATTTTCTTCGTTGTATTTTTCACTCCTATAATAACAAAAGAGGCACAGTTGCCATATTTTTGGCTGGCAAAGATGGCACCTTTAACAGTTGAATGAAGCCAAGAGGTTCACTCCTGCTGTTTTTTGGTTTTAAAAAATGGCATCCATTTTAGTTTGTTGAAGACAAATCATTCACAGCTTCCATTTTCCTGGCTTGTAAAAGTGGTAGTTACAGTAGTCGCTCGATTTAAGGGTGACCAGAAATTTCGGAAATCTCACCCTTAAATAGAAAATGCCCTTATATCGAAAATCGTGACTACTCTTAGAAAACAGTCACCAGGCGCCAGCTGCTGTTAAATTTTGAATATCTTATATAATAAATCTTTGGATACACTTTGTCAATCCTTGCATATCTTTATTTTATTCAATATGAGCAACACACGTTTACGTCTTACAATTTCCCAAAAAATTGAAATTTTAGATCAGTTTGGAATGGGAAACACCAATCAGATAGAGCTCGGAAAATGGGCACAAAAAAAGTTTGATTTAATAAAACCTCTTTCACAACAAACTGTGTCAAACATCCTCAACAATGCCGATCAGTTGTATTCTAACATTGTTGTTATCAAGAATAGCAAGAGTTTGAAGCTACGCAAGTACCCTGAACTTGACGAAGAAGTGAAAAAATTCGTGTATCATATGAATGACTGCAGCATACCAGTAAACCGTGCCTGTATCATCAAGTACGTCAAGCGCATCGCTCGTTCAAAGTACTCCATCACTGATGATATTACCTTCTCTGATGGATGGCTTTCCAAGGTCTTCAAACGTCTCGGTTTAAAATGTAGACCAACTCATGGTGAATGTGCCTCTGTGGATGTCAATTCCCAAAGCATTCAAGATCAGCTTAAAAAAATTCGGGAAGAATTGACGGATTATCCTCTTGCTGATATTATGAACTTCGACGAGACCGGATTGTACTACAATCAACCACCAAGAAGAACAATTTGCTCACAACCACTTGGTGGGTTGAAGAAGAGTAAGACCCGTGTAACTGTCGGGCTACTTTGCAATGCGGATGGTACGTACAAAGGCCATCCCATTGTAATTGGGCAATTCAAAAGCCCTCGTTGCTTCAAGGAAAACCCGAAAATGCTTTCAATGACAGCTATTGGTACCCGTCGATACGTGGAGTACCACCACTCGCCTAAAGCTTGGATGACTACCGAGATCTTCTCGGCTTATGTCAAAAAACTGGACAATGCTTTTGGTAGAGAGGGTAGAAAAGTGGCTCTTCTTTTAGACAATGCCTCAGTGCATAAGTTGAAGTTCAAGCCGGTGAACACAAAGTTGGTGTTTCTTCCTGCCAACACAACGGGTATGTTGCAAGCTCTCCATGCAGGTAGACAGAATAAACAAGGATACTGTTTTTTAAGTCGAAGTACTAATTTTATTTCACTTTATTTAGGAATTATTGCCAACTTTAAGGCTTACTTTCGCTCCCAACAGTACATGAGAAGTCTCGATTTGTTCGCCAGCAAACAGTTAGATAACTTGGATGTTTACAACATGAATCAGGTACAAGCCATGTTTTTCTTGGCCAATGCTTGTTTAAAGGTAACGCCTGAGACAATAAAGAATTGTTGGAGGCATACCAAGATCTTGGGATTTAAAGAGAACCCTGACACGTTGGCTTTGCCACCCAATGTCACCTTGCCTCTGGAAGATAACGTTGTCCAGGAGATCAACAATTCCTTGCCCGATCTTCCTGGTAATTCAGACAACGAGATCACTGATGTCAGTCAGCTGGATCTGGATTCTGACGAGATGTTTATCATCGATGATGAGGAGATCGTGATGGACGGAGAGGAGGGGATCCCAATGATACCTGAACAGGAGATATACGTCGATATCAATGATTGTAAAAAACGGTTGAGGGAAGCTTATGAGACGATTCTGGCGCTGGATGTGCCTTTGGATGACTTGGACAATCAGTTCCATAGACGTGTTAGAATGAGATTGGCTGAATCTCGTGCTGAAATAGAAAATTTGAAACAACAAGCTGATATTTGTCGCTTTTTCCAATAAAAAAATTATTTCTCCTGTCACAAAAGACTTTAAAGAATGATGATTTGTTACTGATGAATTTTTTTTTTCGACTGGGCACCAAAAAAAAAAAAAAAAAAAAAAAACCCAAATATGGTAAAAACCCGTTTGATTTCAGGGTATGGAGAATTGGGATCTCACCCTTAAATAGAATAGTGGTTTAGTGGTGTTAATGCTGGGGACGGAAGTTGTTTTTCAAAAATCCACCCTTAAATAGAAAATACCCTTAAATCGAACACCCTTAAATCGAGCGACTACTGTATAACTTTAACCTTTTTATTTAGGTTTGTGGTTGTATACATGGCAATAAGATATACCATTATAATGCTTGGGTGTTACTTTAGCTTACCTTTGACTCTCTATATACTCTATAAAGGTATTGCTAGAAAATAGTAATATTGTAATTAATTCTACATTTTATTACCAGCCTTAATTTCTGATGTCGATGATTATTTGACCGGTGGTATTCCTAAAATGTCGTCGTTTGAGTGAAAGTTACACAGAATAAATAGTCTATATGTAAGCAGTATGCTATCAATAAGAATAAAACATAACTTTTTAAAGGCTATTTACCTGTAAAGATAGAACCGTATATTGATGAGGACCATTATCTATGGAAAATGGTTATATTATACAGACGTACTTCAGTTTGATCAAAATAAAAAAAATAGGCTAAATTTTTATCTAAAAAAAAAACCCTTTAGTTTTTTATACAGATTACACGTCATTGCTTCAGTCATTGCAAACATAACCAATTCCAACATATTTGTTCACACTTTCCGTTATTTTGAAGGGGCTATATACCCTTACCATCGTTATTTGAAGGCTATTTATTTTAAAAGATAAATAAAAGTAAAAGAAAGAGAGAAAAAATTGTAAGCTAAAAGGACGCTAAAATACACACTAATAAAGAAGCTACAAAACAAGATTGGGCCAATCATGTCGACCAGACAAGACTATTATCTTCTTCTAGTTCTTTTACGTGAAGGTTCATTCGCTACCTCTGGTGGAGGAGAACTGTATAAAAATTATTTATCGCATATGAGTATACATATATCATGCATGAAAAACAATAAAAAAAACTTACAGCACGTCCGCTATGATGGGGGACTCATCGCGACCCATATCTTCGAAAGCGTCATTGATAGAGTCTGAACTATCGGGATCTTGTTGATTCTACATTTTTATACTTTGTTATTGATATTTATGTAACAAACCGCTATAAGATCTTTTACTGTTATCCTTCTTCTGTGTGTTTGGTTGTCACTTTTAAAGCTATCCCTTAACAAGCTTTTAGCACACCACACTCTCTTACACTGGTAAATTTTAAATTCCTTGTCTTTCGCAAGTTTTTCCAGGCGCAAAGTCTTTTTTTTTTAAAACAAAATAAGTAAAAAAATGGCAACTTGTTACCATTTGCTTCACAAGCGCAAACAATGATTTTTTATACCGTAACCCATCAAATTCGGATCAATATTGCATCGATGTTTTGGCATATAGCAATTTAATTTTAACTTCGAGATAGTTTCTATAACATCTAAACTACGTATTGACGGTTCCAGAAATGTTTTTGAAGCATTTTTGTTTTTTTATGATATTATGATCATTTGTATCAATCTTTTGCTCGAATCTTATTGGCTGGGGATATCGAGCAAATAAAAAAAATGGCAGCTATGTTGCCATTTAATTCACAGCTGCTGGTATGTCCGCCATAGTGAAAACGTGAAAAAAGTTTTGCTTGAGAACGGCCCTACTGTATCTGATCCCATTATTAAAAGAGACAGTCAGGGAAGGAATCCGAAAGGAGCCCAAATTTAACATAGCCAGCAAACTAAACCTCGTCGCCTCAATGGATCTCGAATGTGCTGATAACACCGCTGCCTTCACTCAAATAAAAATTAACGACAAAGTGATTCAGCACAGCTTAGTCGACTGTGGAGCATGCCAAACAATCATGTCGCAGGGAGCAATGGAGCAATTAGGACTGGAAATTGATGCTAGCTCTCCAACAATATTTATCTTTGATAACAAGACTAAACAAGCGTCGCTGGGATTGATCTACGATGTACCAGTAGCCTTAAATAACGTAACCATACCTATCAGTATGGAAGTCATCCCCAATTCGCCATCTCTTGTCCTACTAAAAAACAATTTCTTACAACGAGGAAGCCACGATCAACTTCGAGCTAATTACCCTCGCGATCACATATAAGAAGGAAACTACAACTAACCCTATCTCTATTGAAAGGCTGACCGTGTCAGAGAGTCTACTAGTCCCATCAGGCAAGTACTGGTTGAAGTATCTGGACTAGACCCACGAGGACGACGAGATGTCGGAAGTAGATTACGAGGAAGATTGCAATCGAGAGGAGGAAATCAAGAATAACAGGTTCTGTACGATAGGTGAACATTTCCAACACCAAACGATTCAACTAAAGGACGCTGACACGATCATCCCGATAACTATATCATTATCCAAACAAAAAACCCCCCGATTAATTGAAATAAAAGATGATTCTATACAGTACATATGTGTCCGTTCCACAATAATTCATCCTCAACAATCAAAAGTACGAATGATACTGACCAACAACAATGTGGAATCCATAACTATTCCTCCTTTGGCAAAGTTAGCGGATATCGTTGAAATACTCGATGAAATTGAATACTACGAGTTTGACCCCACATTCTGCAACCTTAACAAGTCTCCCAAGACCTCGAACCCAATCACCTTAAGTGAGAAAAGAACAAAATAATAGAAATAAACGAAACCGACATTGACGACTCCATTAAAGAATCGTTCTACAACCTGTTATCCTCCTATCAAGATATATTCGGTTGGATAAGGACAAAAGTGGAATGACAGACCTAATCAAACATCGTATCATTCTCACCAAAGACAAACATACAACTAATATTCGACCGTATAAAATGGCCTCAGCGGAATTCCTATCTTTAAAGAAATAGTTGAAAAAAAACCTGGATCTAGGTATTGTCCGTCCTTCAAATAGACCCTGGTCTGCCCCAATTCTCATTATGCCGAAGAAACAAAAAGACGAACAAGGCAATCAGACTTATCGACTCGTGACAGACTATCGTAAATTAAACCAAAAGACAAGAAAAGACAGCTATAGCATTCCCCGAATAGACGACATTATCGACACTATTGGTGCTAATCGACGCTTCTCAAGTCTGGAAATGACCAACGCCTTCTATGCCATTCCCATAGATCCTGAAAGTATTGAACGAATAGCCATCTCCACTCGTGCTGGTGTTTATGCCAATGGGTCTCAGCTCAAGTTCAATGATTTATCAAAGGCTAAACAATTTGGTATTCGAAAGTATCATGAACAAATGTTTGGTAGCCTACTAGGATACCTGCAATGTATTCTCGAAGAACGACGAACAACACTTGAAATATCTCGGAAAGGTGTTTGAGTGTGTTCGAAAAGCAAAACTGGTGCTGAATCCAAAAAATCGCCAATTTCTCAGAGAAAAATTAGTCTTTTTAGGTTACGTCATGGGCAAGAATGGCTTAGAAACTTCTCCCGACATCAGAAATAAAGTAAAAAGATTTTCCGACCCAATACCGTATCACAGATAAAAGGATTTATAGGTCTTTGCTCGTATTACCGAAGATTTGTAGATGGATTCGCGGCCAAAGCAAGATTTCTACATATGCTTACTCGTAACAAGTGCGGGACTAACACCTTCTGGTTACCCGAACCAACCATCGCCTTCGAACGATTGAAAGATGACATAACCAAAGCACCTGTGCTACGCCCACATGCCTTTGACAATGAATTCCTGGTTATATGCGACGCATCGTTGCATGGACTAGGGGCAGTACTGTCTCAACTACATGAAGACGGCAAGAAACACCCGGTACGTTGCATGAGCCGAGCATTGAAACCTAACGAAGAGAATTACGAAATTACAAAACTAGAATGCCTCAGTTGTGTTTGGGCTGTGAAAGAATCACGAAATTACTTGTTGGGACGAAATTCACCATCATCAGGGACCACATCAGCCTAAAAGGTCTTATGAATCAGGAACGGCCAGTTGGTGTCATCGCACGTTGGATAGCCACTCTAAACCAATATCATTAAGAAATTAAATATCGTCCTGGACGAGCTAACAATAGCGCTGACTTCCTCTCAAGATTTGGAAACTAGATATACCATTCGACAGGAATGTCTCTAAACTATCACCCGACCGTCATTGTTGGCCTAAACTATAATGACACAGTGGAAGACTTCCAAACCTCCAAAATTAAATTTTTAACTGGGATTTAAATATTTTCCCCTTTTTTTGGATTCGTGTGACCATTTTTTAACTTGATTTTAATTTAAAAATTTACAACCAAAGTTTATTGAAGGCCCCCCCTCTACCAAGGTCAAATTTTAACTTTTTTAACTTTTTATTTTTTTCTTTGGCGCTTATTCTGTTTATTACCCTCAGAAGAATGGCTTTCTTCGGCGGAATTTATCTAAGCATAAAACAATTAGGAACTTTCCCATACAAAGAATGAGTGCTTTTATCGTTCTTACCTTCGCAAGTATTTGACCAAGAATTCCCCTCATATCATTCACCTATTCCATTTATATAGTTAGATAATCTCATTCAATAATAAGTAACGCGAGATTATAAATTGTTATCTGGCTGCCCATCAGCTCCAAGCTGCTCTCCAACGATGTCAGACAACTTCCATAGACATTATTACCACCGGCACCAGGAGAGTCTTCTGAGCTCGGACCTTCCATGGTCTTGATGGCCGCAGATATTTAGTGAGCAAGAGTGTCTGTGAAATCTTGCAGATTACTTGCCTGCGCGGCCCTTGTCTTTCTTGGTATGAGTGTCGTACGAGTGACCGAACGAGGAGAGGAAGCGTGTTGATTGTCAGCAGTTGCATTCTCCACAGTCTGCTCTTCGATTGTTGGAAAGTTGTTTCCTCCCCCCCCATTGCCGTGACCACAGTCTCTGCCTCCACATCACCATCTTCGAATTCATCATCAATTCCTCCTAGCTCAGCTTCAGCCGTTTTAAGCTTGATCAACTCTTCGATTTCCCTTGCCTTTTACCCAAAGGTGCCCTACTTGGAGTACCTAGTAGATGATCAACACGTATTGTTAATAGTTGTAAAAGAGTATCATCAATTAAATCTTAACATACCTGTAGGTGACTTCGCATTTTTGAATCTCCCAAAAAGCGCCTTGAGTGACTTGGAGTCACGGTCATAGACCTGTACGGCCACTTGATTGTTTCCGGTTCCATTTTGGCTGGCATCTTCAACCATTCTCTTCTTGAAAAAAACTTGTACAAGCTCCCATTCATCAGCACCAGTAGGTAACTTATCCTGAACAGCTTCGAGTAAAACGTCTTGCTCGATGGCTGAAAATCTGTTTGATCCGATTTTGTTTCCCATTTTGTATGAATAATTGTTTTTGTTTGATGTGAATTTATAAAAGTAATTATAATAAAAGAACATGTAAATATGATATCAGCCATCTCTGAAATACTAAATGTGGTGATCCACCTACTGTTGTTACTAATCACACCATAAAACAATATTAAAATTAAATCTCACTTCATCACCCCATACATTATTACATCACAACACGAACTATTTTCTTATACATTATATCATATCCAACTACAAGCACTATTTTAGTGCTGTGTAACTTATCCATCAAACTAAATTCATAATCCGATTTCTCTTAACATATATAAATATGCAAACTGATAGTTAGAATAGAACCCTCTCAATCTTTGAATCTACTTTTTACTCTTAATAAAACTTATAAGCAGTCTCAAAGTACTTTATTGTTTTTCTCTTTTAAAATCTATTCTCAACTATCACACTAAATACTCTTGAGACAGTCCCAAACAAAGCATTCTTTCCAAAAATTAAATTGTTTCATATATTAAAACAAGAATAGAAATCGATTAAACTATAAAGATTACGTTTATTTATTCGATTCTTTTTTCATATCTCCTTTAATACAATAAACAAGTATGCCGTCAAGTAAAAAACAAAAATTCAATTTAATTACTACTACTGCTTTTTCTGCTGCTGTTATATGCCATCTGTACCATTTGAAGTTAAACTGCCGTATTGCGGACCAATCCTACATTAACTCAAGAAGCTTGCGTAAACCTTCCGAATCTGCTGCAACAGCATTAATTAATGATCGTGATCGCAAATCTTTCCTGTGCTATTTGGGATTGACCGTGGAAGCTTTCAAAAATTTGTATGAAGAGTTCAAGCTACAATATCCTAATGAGTGTCCAACTGGACGGCCTCGTTTTCTTGATGCCAAAATGGTTCTTGTTTTAGTCTTGATGTGGCTCCATAATACAATGAAGCAAGAGACGTTGGGCATAATTTTTGGTGTTCCTGCTGCAACTGTTAGTAGATCCAAGAACATGGGTATTGAAACGCTTTTAAAGGTGTTTAGATCAAAACCAAATGATCCACGATGGAAGATTGGATGGCCCTCTTCAAGCGAAAAGGCCGAGTTTAACGAAATGGTTTTGTCAAACACAACCAATGATTTCGAAAGAGGAGTTCTCACAGGT